CTGGCAGTTTCACTTATGTACATAATTTTGCCATCAGGCGCCAGGACAAACACGAAACCGTCCAAGGCCTGAAACGAAGAGATCACAACAGTTGAGGAACACAAGTAGAACGATGGTAGATACGAGAAACAAGAAGAAAGAGTATTCTGGTCTTTAGAAATTAGAATTCAACGCCTCGTTACGCCCTGATCTCTTTCGTATCGAACAGAACAGCTTTCAACTCCTGGTCGCGCCCTTATCTCGTTAAACGAAATTCGTAAGGTTGTCAGGAAAGTGAAGTATCTGTCTGTGGCTAATACCAAAGGCTAAACGTTTGACGTTGTTTGTCTGACAACGCATGTAAGACCGTTGGATCGATTTATAAGGCGCGACACAGAGAACGATGAGTGCTTACTTGCAAAATATAACTAGTCACCTCCTTGAGGGCGATTTGCAGGGAGATGTTGCCTGGCTGAGACGCGCCCCATTCTTCACCGAGCCCTGAAAAATCATTTCACCACTGTCAGACATTCGGCTGTGACCCGATCTTCCTCAGAGGGTCGCCAGAAAAATTTAAACTTTTCATTGGACCACACAATTTCCCTTGTTTGCGAGAACAAAAAAAAAAAAAAAAAAAATTCACGTTCTTTGTTTTCCCATCGCGATTTTTTTTGCAACTCAAGTTGATTGAGACTGGTCGCGCAGAAAGAATTATGTTGTTCTTCATCGAAACAGAAAGAGGAAACTTGTCTTTAACGGTAGCGATTTAGCAGCCGAGAGAAAGATGTAAGAGAGATGTGCATCGCAACACGTCGGTCTCTCCTTGTCTTTCCCGATATACATGTTTCCAGCGACGTTTCGTATTCGGTGTATAAATAAGTCTATAGCCAAGTATTTCGTGTCTGCGCATTAATTACATTCACGCGCGCGCTGTCACGATTGCAGCTGCAGGGGCGTTTTCTGCAGCCGCGTGGAATTCCACGGAAAATGGCTTGATCGTTGCCATCTCGCCGGCGCTGCGGCTCGAATTTTCATCGGACAACTCACTTATTGACGCACCAATTTCGAATCTCCCGACGAGAAATAATTCTTAAGCAAGCGGCCACCACGATGATATCAACGTCAGACGATTAAATCGACGTTCGACAATAACAACATCGAGTGTTATCAAAAAAAAAAAGATCGGTGATTTCTCGACACGAACTTGAAACTCTAGAGACAGAACCATTTTGTCCGTCTGAAACGTATTTCATCACGCTCGTTTGCCTGCTCATCGGCTAATTTTCCGCGCGAATGAAAAGGAACACACGGCCGTGAAGTGTCACCGACGTGAGTGGGCAACGTGTGTCTCTTCTCTCCCTCTGTCTTCTCCCTTTCCTTTCATTTTTTCGGAGAATAAAGACGCGGCCGTATTTCTAGAGGGATGCAGCCACTTGAAATTCAATTCACCGATGTCGTAAGAACGCGGAGAGGAGGAGGTGAGACGAGGGAAGCCATTGTAACACTATAACAGCCCCCATGCTTTGCTTACAAAGCAGCGGGGGCTAACAATGCATTAAGTGCGCAATCACATCCATCTCATCCGATACTATTTGCCCTTTGCGCGTAAGTGTCCGGTGGCTGAATTAACAAAGAATACCGTTCCAATCCGTTTACCGCTAAGTGAAGTTTATTACTTGGCACGTGGTATCGCGTCCCGCGTAACCATTCGCCCTGACAATTACTAATCGATCTATTTCTTCGACTGTTTCCTGAGCGTTAAACACTCTCGAATGAGGCGAGGGGGATCGTGGTGAATTTTTCTCCGTTCAAATCGATTAACCCATTGAGGGCCAATTTTTCTTCCGCCCTTCAGCCTGTCTTCCCGTCTTATAACCAGGACATTGGTGGCTATACAAAGAAAGGTATACATACAAAAATATATATATTCGTTGACTATTGCAAATGGATTATTAATTGGAATTATTCTATACGAGAGTGATAATTTCCCTGGAAAATAATATACTCGGAGTACCGTTTGGGAACAACGCTCGCATCTTCAAGTAACTGGTCGTCAATCGAATGACGCTAGCTTTATCCATTTGACCGGTGAGAGCGGCTGGTACAGGCAACAGCTTCGCAAGCTCCAAAAACTCTTGGTTCTCCCTGTCGCGGCGGACACGCGCTGCCTTCTTACTTTTCTCCTTCATTACGACTTCCTGCGGGCCGGACGTGTTAGCGACGGAATTGCCGTTCAAAAGGTAGTGATTATGCGAGGTCAGGTCTAGAGTGTCTGAACTGGAATTATTGTCTGGAACAGAGAGAAATATTACAAAACACACACACACACACACACATTGAGGGAATCTGATCGGAAACTGCGAGATTTTCGTTTTATAAAAGCTCTTTTTCACAAAGTTAGTTTCCGGAGGGATACGCTGAATAATACGCCAACTTTTCACCAGAGTTTCGCGCCCATGGAACGAGATGAAAATAAAACGTACGTAAACAATATGGAGGAACAGAAAAGAGAAATGAGGATGCCGGTGGAACTAGTTCGCGGAAGTAACGTCGTCGAAGAACGATACAGCGCGAAAGCCATAACGACGCCGAAGCTGCTCGTTATGAGAACCGAAAGCAAAGGGAGCAAACCGTCATTAAAACGCCAGCAAGAGAGCAATCTAACGACGTAGCTACCCATCTGCCGAGACTTCTCACGGATGGAAATTCGCTTGAATAATGCATTTTTTCCCTGCTCCGTCGTTTCAGTCGCCAATTCTACTGCTCGGTCGCAACATTCTTCCCGATGAAGTGTTGCAATATCTCCGTTTGTTTTCACTCTCTTCTTTGTTTTCACATTTATTCTCCGTGCAAGGAATTTCCGATTCTGAAATCAGCTTTACGGGATGAAGAAGACAGCCTAAAGCGTCGAATCGTAAAGAATAATTTGAGCTGAAAGCTTTTGCTTTGTAATAAAATACGGCAGAAAGAATTCTGAGATTCTTGGTTTTAATTAGTTTTAGTCGCGAAACGAGGGGGGGGGG